ACTATCAATTTCCGTTTTAAATTTTCGTACTGACTTGACCTCTTTTCTTTTCTTGACCTCCTCTCCGGAGATGGCACAAGCAATTATATATTGATTCATGGCATAAAAAAGATAAAAAGACTACAGGAGATTGTTCCCAAACTAAGAGAAAAGAAAAATAATGTATCGGAAAGCAAGAAAAAGAATAACAAGACCACACTAAAGCAAGAGCATTTTTCATGGTAGCGATTTGGCTACTAATTTCTCAAAGATTAAAGATAGTAAAATGTTGGCACTACTTGGACAAACTTGAAAATTATTATAGAAAGAAATTCCTTTTACTCTGAAGTTTTTAAAAGAAACTCCTTATTGGGAAAGACCTGCATCTTATTTCTTCCCACTTTGATGGTTTATTGTCGTACTATCTGGACCAACCATGCTGGCTCTTTCCATCATCTGTACTTGCTATATTTTCTACCAAGGATTCCTGTTCATACAGAGGTGTCATGTGAAGCGCGCACCTGAAACAGCGAGACAGTTTTACATCACCACCTTGGAGAGAACTGTTTGGTTCCTGGGAATGTAAAGTGGACATTGTAAACTATTCATTGTGAACTTGGTTTTACGCAATCGCGGATTGTAAAAGAGATGACGTACATAGCTTGAAGATGGAGAAAGATGGCGGACAAAATGGCTTGAGAAAGTTAAAGGGAATAGGTAGACTTTAGTGTCATCAATGTAAGAACTTTCTTTTGAAAACAGTTTATTGTCTCGTGAAAGTTTTACGAACTCAATCGTCTCAGTAACCAAAGAGAATGTTAGAACGTTGCCCATCCTTGGTGTGTCTGCTCATGATACACCAAGGCAATACTTAACGCAATATGGGAACAGATAATTAGGATTTGAATGTTTGGTGTGTTGAGACTGATCTGAGACAAGTGACGCTAGAACAGGTAGGAAAAGAATGAAAAACGAAAGAACCAGCGACATGGACAATAAGGCGTATATATTCATATACTGAAGAATGTATTTAATACCGCGATATGAGATCATCACTGGATAATCCTGTTTTTAGGATTTGAATATTTTGGTGTGTTGAGATAGATCTGAGGCGAGTTTAGATGAATGAATTGTAATAGAGTACAAACATTATAAGTGTGTAACATAAATACCACTAAATACTGCTTAATTATGCTGATCCTTTATCGTTTTCTATTGTTTATTGTTTTTACTACTAAATAGTGCAAAGTGTTGCACACTTTTAGTGTTTGTACTCTACTAGTCTTTACCTTGTTAGTAGTTGAACTTTATTGGTTGATTGGCATGAAGTAGTATCATCTCTTATATCTTGACTCTCCCCGATTGAAACTCTGAAATAAATATTTGTGAATAAGTTTGGTATGTTTAAGGTTTGGTTTTCATACATCTAGCTTCTTTATAAAACAAATTGTGGTGGAGTAGAGTGGCTAAAGTAGGTTAGCGTGACTAACAAATGGTTTCTTATCTCGACCAATCAAAAAGCTAGATAGCACACACCATCCAATCACAATCCGTGAATACCTCATAACTATGTCATTCCGTATCATATGCTAATCCGATATCACTAAAACCGATAAAATTCATACTTACTTAGTTCAGTTCAGTGACCACGAATGATAGATCCAAGTCGAGGTTGGAGTTTCCGCGCATAGCAAAACTATGCCTTCTATCATACACAGAAACTATTATTCGTGGTCACTGAACGAAACTGTAAAATAAAGTATTGCCTCTTATCACGCCAGCGTTACACTGAGATATTTGATTCATTGGAATTTCGAAAAACATTGCATTTCACTATTATCGATGTAACAAATTTGATGGTAAAATCCTCTTTCCAATAAATCAAATCAAGGGCGTAGCCAAGGGTGCCAGCCCCCCTCCCCCCTCACTTGTGGCAACAAAATGGCGGCTCACTTAGATCATATACAGTAATTTCATTTCTTTTCTTTTTCTTTTCTTTTTTTTTTTTTTTTTTTTTTTTTTTTTTTTTTTTTTTTTTTTTTTTGTTTTTTTTTTGTTTTGTTTTGTAAAAAAGACTTAGACATAAGATATCCGGTTTTTATATTTTTGTAAAAATAAAACGTACAACGTAATGGCGCAAACAAAATGGCGGATTCTTTTCAGTTTGAGCCCAACCCCTTCGGAATACCCTTGCTACGCCACTGCAACTAGTTTATGTCACGCTAGCGAGATAAGGGTGGATGGTGATTGGTTCGTTATTGTCTGAGTCAAAACCATGAATGCGCATGCTCAATTGCTTACTATCAATCACGTGACTTTTTGGAGTTGACTGGGGGCAARCAAGCGGTTGACTGGGGGGCAACTAGCGGATGCTAAGTCAAAACATATTAAAATAAGTCCTCAAACTATGGAATTGGATTTTTTTCACGACATCAAACCAGAAAACAAGAGATCAAAACAACCTCCAGGATTAAGCCATCAAAAAAGAGCTATTACCGGAAGTGACGTCTATTGATAGCAACCTATCGAAAGCCGATTCCTTCCTAGAACACGAGGAAGTTCTCTTTCTCACACAATGTTTTTTAGAGCGCTTTACAATACATACTCCCAGTTTTTTCCCTCGACCTTGTAATGACTTATAGAAAACTTCAGCTACGAATTAGTTAAATGTACTTTTTCTTGTGTTTTGGCTTCCGTCTACCAAAGTTCCGAATTAAAATTCAGCTAGCTGGAAGTCGCGGAGTGACCTAAGATGAAAAGCGCTCTATATATACTTCATGGTAGCATGATTGCCAATTATATCAATACAACGACCTTCTTGGAGTTCAATATAATTCACATATCAACATTTAACCCTTCAATGAGCCACTGGACGGCTAAATTAGAGATCAAACATGAAATTAAGTGTTGCTCTTCAGTTCGAGCATGTTGTGCGAAAGTCCTAACACGCAATGGACGGATATTTATAATTTTATGATCTTGTTCAACTTTGCAAACGTATATTCACCATCCCCAAAAATAACGATTACAACCCAAGGGTAGTAAAAGAACAAAGCGTGTGCTTACATATTCTCACRACAGATCACAACCAAACACTCTCCCCACCTCTCCCCCACGCACTCGATATTGGTTCTATCAATGAAGTTCARGCAAAAAACTAACCTTGTCCGGTCGTGGGGGGAGGAGAGTCAGTAGGGTGCAAAGACTGACACCAGCATCATGCATATGTTCTACATTCCTTTCGTCCGGTACTGAGGCGATGTAAAAGCATGCATGTCGACGTCTTTTGACACGTTGACAATGTTGAATAAATCCTTATACCTAAGACGAAACATTAATATTTTGAATGCTATGCTCTTTAAACAATACTACGAATAAAAGAATATTCGACTCCATAAATCTTAAGGTTTATTTCGATCCGCTCTATTTTTGACCATTTTTTAAATCAAATCAGTGCTTCAGGGCCGATTCAAAACGAATTAGCACTATAGATGATGTGTGGAATGTACCTGATGTGATATCAAGAAGCCGCCTTGCTATGTTTGTACTCCGTGTAGCTCTCCCTTTGATTCGCATTACAATTGGAATGAAAGGTTTCTACCAACAACAGTGTGACACGAGTGCATAAAACGAGGAATATTTTTCTCAACTCAATGATAATGTCCAAACAATACAAATAATTATTACCTTGATATTAGCAATCCTTTGAGCCATAATATCTGTTGCTGGCGATGATAATTATCGACTAATTGTGTTTGTGATGGTTGCGATAGAGCTCCCTATTCTCCGTGTATCCACGGGTTTGCCATCTTGCATGCCTCCTCACCTTGTGATTATGCAGTGCGAGACAGAGAAGAGTATAAAAAGCCGGTGATTCTGAAACTCAGCCACTTTCTCAAGCTTCTAATTAAGGTCGCTGTAATCCAGAGGTAAGAAGATGTATTGTATTTTTTGCAGATATCAAGATATTTTTACTAAGAGTTATTTAGAAAATAGATTTTTATGCCACACATTTGCTTTAGGTAAATGTTTTATACCTTGTTTTTCCATTTCACCTTTATAACCCAGTTGGGATTATTGCTACGAAAGAACCATCCTTGCGTCACTCAATCTTTGAAATTAGAAATGATGCCAGTTATCGTAAAATTTTTGAAGCTAGAGAGTCTTGATGTGAGCGTTTGGTGTGTTCACGGTTTAAAACTATATTATTTCATTTCAGTTTTCCGAGACGAGCTATGAAGTTTATCTGCACTATTCTCGTTTTCCTTGGCCTGGCTTCCATGGGTAAGATTATTTATTATTTGTGAACTCGCACTGTTCTGAATTGACACGATCAACTTGTACCGACTAAGAAAATCTTTGGGCTCGTAAACTTAAAAGTTAAGCAKTTTTTTTAATGCAACTTTTCTTTAAATCATTACTTTTGTTTATATTATCCCCGGAAATATGCCACTAATTTATATTTACGCAATTTTAAAGAATGTTTTTAGTCGCGAAAACAAACTGCTAGCTGCTAGGTAGTGCGCAGAGAAGTGGAAAATGCTGAAACTAAGGGATTTGTGTCCAGAATCTATACTTGTTTGGACTAATATTTCAAACGAGTTCTAAAAATATTGACAAAGCACTAATCCTGGCAAAAAGAATTTAGTACCTTTTTTTTTTTTGAACTGAAAAATGAAGTTTTACGGATCTTTACCGGTAGACCTTCGTCTTGAATCAACGTTTTTTCCCCCATTTCAGGCCACGCGTCTTTCCCAAATACTTTTTTCGTTTAACGGTTGTGTATGAGAAGATATAAAGCAARGAATTAATCTAATTTTTAAGACACGTGGATTGAAATAGGGAAACATTAGGCCAAATCATTCTCAAGAGAATGAAATAACAAGAGACACGGCGGCCATGTTGGATGGTGTAACAAAAGAGAATAATGACGAATCTTTTGTTGAATTCATCCAACATGGCGGCTGTGAAAACCATCAACATAAAGTCTGTTGAGAAGACTGCGTAGAAGTATTTTCGAGATTAAGAGATAATTCTTTTCGTATTCAAGCAGTGAGCGCCAAAAACTATTTTCTTGAAGAAAGGCTGTTGTACAAGGCTAAAATCTTGTTATTCAGAAAGTTTAACTTGTTTGGAAATGGAGATGACCAATGAAAGGGGAATCAAAGTGTTAAGCAAAAATTTTATTCGAAAATGAGGTTTAGGCCTTCATTTGCTTATTTCCGATATATTTTCTATAAAAAAGCCTGACAAAGCAACATTCTGACACAAATGCARCAAAACATCTTTGTACAATTGAATACCGCTTCAAACAGGCATTTTATCRTAGTACATCAGTTTCTAACTGTTTAAAAAAGGGTTGTGAGTGTTAACCCAAAACGAAAATTGAGATCAAAATTCATACGAAGGTCTAGTTTTTGGCGCTTTTTGCCATTATTGCTCATTATTGAAAACAATTTCCTCTTAATCAAAATGTTATTACTATAATTTCCTAGGTCACTCCATGCTGTATGGCCGAGGCGTGTTTCTAGTATCATCACCGACTGATTTTCTCTGCAAGGCTTTCTCYTTCGATCAAGCTTTCACCAGTGGACCAGTACAAGTCCAACTTGCCCTTCACATGAACGAACCAAATGCTTTTACTTACGAGGCCGCGGTGAGCTGGGTAGAGGAAGTGACGTTTAGTGGTTTCACTGCCTGTGTTGCTGCGTCTGGTCCTATTTCCGGTGACAGAACAGTAAGTCTTCAGTGGATGGCCTACAGCAGTGCTCCTGGAGGTGGCTTCGGTCAACAGACTATCCAAACTTGGGTGGCAGGAACAAAATGTGTCACTGTGGATTTTGCTGCAGCTGGAGTGGTAAGTAAAACTGTCACTTTTGTCAAACAAAATTTTTTGGCTTTTGGATGTGATGTCATCATGGCCGCCATCTTGGTTATGAGTGATAACATGAAACTTTCGTTAGAAAATGTATTTTGAAGTATTCGAATCTTATCCAAAAAATACTTTCTGCGTTCAGAAACCAAATTCTTTAGTAGGCATTTTTCCATTGATGRGTTTTTTTACGTGGCGTCTTAGTCCGTCGGCCATTTTGGTTTAGTAAATGAAATGTTTTGTGCAACTCCTTCTCGCTTATGGGTTTGTAATGACCATTTTCTTTTCTGTAGCAAAAATTATCCATTATTGCTGCTGAGCCATTGCCGGCATTCCCAACACACTGAATTCTAATCAGTAGATGTGTGAGTGAGCAGTTCCTTGACTTATAGATCAGCGCAGAGGTTGTTTCAGAGTTCGATCTGCTAGTTAGCCGTGCCCGTTGACTTGAATGAACCCAACGGTTGTTTCAGTGTTCGTGAAAATTTAGTTTTTCTATGACTAATTGATAGAATATTATCGAGTACGTAATTTCCAATCTATATAATTGTCTTTTTTAGACATTTGCAAAGGCACCCTTCATCTACGTCACTTCYGTGCACAGTATCACCCGCAACAAGCACGATGCCGCAAGCATCTGGGCCGAGGACGTGACCATATACGACTTCATGATATGCTTACGTGAACTGAAGAACTTCGACGGCGAACACAAGCAATTCACCGTGGTTAGTAAATAGATTTTACTTAATTTTATCGTATTTTTAGTTTGTATTAGAGTGATTTCCAAAAACCCGTGAAACAAAGTGTAATAACTAAGGTGTAATAAATTGTAATACACCGAAAACACAAAAGAAAATCAAAAGAAAATGCGGACAATAAAGTGTATTAAAGTGTAATACGCTAAAGTGTATTTTACGGGTTTTTGAAAACCATTCTATTATATAAAACTGGTAACTCGGTACATTCTTTATTACACTATAGCTATTTTAACTTGATTGGTTAAGGCAATAATTGGCGTGCTGAAGGATTCGGCAAATAAAGCAAACTACTTTGCTGGCGACAATTCTTTTCTTTCTATTTTTTCCTTTTTTGCTTAATTGAATAAGGAAATCATTTGCGTGCCGATTCGCGAAAACGGTGCAACTTTTTAGTAGACAACCAGCGTTACAGGATGTGTTCACACGATAAAATTTGTCCCCCAAACAGAGATTCATTCTATTTTCTGCAGAGTTGGACATTTTCATGGAATCGAAAGTGCAGTTTCGTCAAAAAGCGGCGCGCAAAAAACCGCGCAAAATGGCCGCAATAGCTTAGTTTGCGTGCATCGTATCTCTTTAATTCTAATTTCCTAGCTTTTTCTTTAAACAAAGACTGGTTTATTTGATGGACTGTTTTAGCACTTGTAAGGGGGAAAACCCGTGTGAAATGTTTAGTATAGCATTTTTTTGTTTTTCTTCTTCAAGAACTGGCTAGCCCAGGAAACCCCTCCAACTGGATGGACAGTTGGTATTGAAAATGCTGTCAAACTACCCAACACCTCGCCATTGACATCTAATACTCACTACAGTTTCTGCCAGGTAAGGATAACTCTGTTYATCGAGTTGAATTTCTTTAAGCTTTCTGTTTTCTCTTCTCTGACTGCCGTCTCTATGAGAACGAGACTTCAAATCGCACGATAGCGATGTAGGTAGGGCAAAACATCGGTCAAAAACATAGGGAACACTCGAGTTCTTTTTGAAATGGCTTAAACACCTTCCCCACTCAATAATTATAATTCATTTTGAAAAAAAGGAAATATTGAAAAGTCTCACTAAAACGAAACATCGAAAAAATTTGTTTTATTCATATGAAGGTCAGGGTTAATATCATCCTTAATATATCGGCAATAATAATTCAAATATTTAGGTTTTTATATACTAGAGTATTATCTCGTGGAAAATTCAAGTAGGAGTTGCTATATGGAAATTTTTACCGACCTAAATGATTAAAGTCGTGGGCTCTACATCACATTAACTGATGAATGACTTTATTAGTTATTCCGAGGTTGAGGAAAAAACTGGGTTTATTGCGATTTAGGGGACGAAATAGGCGCCATTTTGTAAATGTGTCCCTAAAACAGTCTCGCAATGCACTTCAATGCCAACTCAACCCATGCAGTTTTTCTATCCGCTCAACTTCGGAATGGCTAATTGAGATGTGATAAGGGGTGGTTTTTTAACAAGGTGCTTATCATTGTTCTTTAGGTTGTACCATTTGCCCAAGATTTCTATAGTAGAAGATAATATAGGTAAGTTGTAGTGCTTGGGAACGAGGTTATTCCAGGCGAAAGCCCTTGGAATTAAATTCGGAAAAATTAATTTCCGACCTCGCTGGGATTCGAACCCACGACCTTAGGAATTGTACTACCGATGCTCTACCAGCTGAGCTAGAGGTCAGACTGAGAGCAGGCCGGGGTGAAATAGATGTTAGGTCGCGGTAATTATGATGCAAAGATGAGAGTATGTGGACCGCGTGGCACTAATGAAATAGTAGAAGATAATATAGGTAAGTTGTAGTGCTATATTATCTTCTACTATTTCATTAGTGCCACGCGGTCCACATACTCTCAAGATTTCTATAGTGAGCCAGTTATGATCACCACGGCCAAGCATTTTTCAGATACGAATAATCCAAACACCATCTACCCCAAGAACAATGCTATAACAGAATGGGTCGAGGTAAGGAGAAGAGGAAAGGCAAAATGGCTGAATAATCGCGGACATTTCACAACAGCTTTTTACATGTAATTCTCATACTCATTAATAATTCATGAGTAAACCAGCCAATCAATGGGCTATTTTTTGGGTCACATGATGTTACTWGAAACCTGGTAAAGTSCTGTGAAAGGACTGAATTATTTTTGTTCAAGTCCTTGGACTGGATTAAAATTAATTCAGTTCAGGGACATATCTGTCCCTTAAGTCTATCAATCCTWAACAAATAATCTCCCGAATTATTAATGAGTATGAGAAGTCATTTCAAAGCCTCCGAATCGGAGTGGACAGGATTTCAAGTCCTTGCAATTAGTTCCAGTCCTTGGCGCACGGACTTGAAATCCCGTCCAGTCCTCATTGTCGGCTTTGAAATATTACGTCTAAACGTTAAAGTGTTCCTTCTATTATTGTCTAGGAAGTTACCACGACGCAGTTCACCGTGTGTATGAAAGACATCCAGTCAATTGCCAGCCACCATAATAATAATAATAATAATAATAGTTTATTTATCCACATAACGCCTATGATCCAGTAACTATCAGTTACCTGGCAATAGGATGTAAGTACTGCAGGACTTTGGAGTTGAAAAGAGTGTACCTTGGGGGGATCTCGTGTAGCTTGGGGGGGATCTCGTGTAGCTTGGGGGGATCTCGTGTAGCTTGGGGGGGATCTCGTGTAGCTTGGGGGGGATCTCGTGTAGCTTGGGGGGGATCTCGTGTAGCTTGGGGGGGTCTTATACAAGAAATATGAGCAAGCTGACCAAGAAAAAGCCACAGAATACTTGTGACCTACTTAAGATTTCTCGATCTTTTTAGAACTAATCGTTGAATTTTTAGAAATTATGACTTTAGAACTGAGTTTCAAATCCTGGATCCTGGACTCGGTACCACATAGAGAGAATTGGTTCAAGTTTCTCCTCTGAATCGAGGGTTCTCCAATTTTCATTCCTCTACAAAGCTTACTGAATACGCTGAATTCCATTTCGATTTGTGAGATACCCTTGCCCCCCCTCCCCCCCTTGACTTCGATCGACTCAGAGAATTGCTGAGAAAGGAAAATCCGCAAGTTTTTGTTTCTCTTTTCACCCGAAAGCGCAAAATGAATCCTAATTTTCTAAGAGTATTTCTACTAAGAGTATTTCATTCATTCTAAATTCCAGATCTGGACCCATGCATACCCGTTGAATGCACCCACTATTCCTTTTGTAAAGCCTTCGGTCCCAAGGATGCCCGCTGTATATGTAAAGACAAATGTCCAACCTTTGAAAACCTGCAGTGTGGAAGCGATGGCAATACGTACACCAACATGTGCTACTACGAGAAGTATATCTGCAATACTCGCAAGAATGTTACTATTGTGCATCCCGGGGCCTGTTACGGTAAGACTAATGTTGCTACTGAGCACGTACAGACCTGCCGTGCCGTGTCTTACCGTGATATGACGGTACCGTGCTCCAATTGAATATAGCTGCTTCATGAGCATTAATTTTATTCCCTAAAATTGGATAAACAGAACCATTTTACAATCGCACGAAATCTATACKGCTATTTCAAAAAAGGTTGGTGAAATGCAGACACCGAGGTTTGACTTTCATTCAGCAACGCGAATGTTGAATGCACAGACTAACTCTAAAACAGACCTCTGTAATACGAACACCTATAATGCAGTCACCGAGGTTTGACTTTCATTCAGCAACGCGAATTTTGAATGCACAGACTAACTTGAAAACAGACCTCTGTAATACGGACAATCGTCGTTTTGGTGTCCACTTAGGAGGATTGACGTTATTCAGAATCGTGACCCACCTTTTTCAAAACTATCATGTCTTGCTATGGTGACATACGTAATCCTAATCTCAGTATTCTTGACTGACAAACAATTGTATTTCAGCATTTATTCTTCACCACGGCCGTGTCACTCTCGACCTATCCACCACCGATGTTCAGTGCAAACTTGTCGCATACAAGACCCAGAACTTCAAGGTTGATAGGACGGTCCACGTCCAAGTGTCGGTCAACTACCATAACGGTCCTACAAACTTCGTCCACGATGCTGCTGTTGTCTGGGCTGAGAAAATCAACGCATATAACTTCACATTGTGTGCACTCAAGGCTGGTAGGAACGATCGAGCGACACCTGACAATGGCATCACGTTTGTTGATTATATGGCTTACCAAGGAGCACCTAATGGAGCTGTGGCTGGAGAATTGGTCTTGACAAACTGGTGGGAGGGGACGACTTGTCAAACTGTCGTTCTGCCATCGGTAAGTGGTTTTTTAACAATCTAAAGGTGATTGGGAGCTGTTTCGATGTCATTACAAAATTCGGTCCCACAACCCTATGTGCCACGAGGTCTTTAAAAAAAGGGGGGGGGGGGGGRTTAMAAAGGACTACAATAATTAACAAAAAAATATAAGAAAACGAATATTAACGAATATTGTAAACCATAGATAGATTTAGTTTAAGAGGAGATTTTTTTCATAACGAGCAATTATGGCAAAAAGCGCAAAAAAGTAGACTCTCGTATGAGTTTTGATCCCAATTTTCGTTTTGGGTTTAACACTCAAAAACCTTTTTAAACAGTTAGAAACTGATGTGCTATGATAAAATGCCTGTTTGAAGCGGTATTTTCAATGGTACAAAGATGTTTTGCTGCATTTGTGTTAGAATGTTGCTTTGTCAGGCTTTTTTTAATAGAAAATATATGGGAAATAAGCAAATGAAAGCCTAAACCTCATTTTCGAATAAATGTTTTGCTTTAAGTTAACACTTTGATTCCACTTTCATCGGTCATCTCCACTTCCAAACAAAGTAAATTTTCTGAATAACAAGATTTTAGCCTTGTACAACCTTTCTTCAAGAGAATAGTTTTTGGTGCTCACTGCTTGTATACGAAAAGAATTCTCTCTTAAAATATTAAATCATATCGTGTGACTGTTTCGTTGTTTTTCCTCTAAAAATAAGCAGAATTTTATTTTAATTCACTGATTATGTCTTTCAGGGCAAGTTTACAGGTGTTCCAAATGCTCTAGTTTCATCAGAACACATGGTGGTTGGTCAAAAACATGATGCTGCGACTATCTGGCTGGAAGACACTAAGACAGACCAACTAAAAGTTTGTCTTCGTGAACTTCAGGATTTTGATGGGCTTCACAAGGACATTCATGTGGTTAGTCATGTTTTTTCAATACAACGGTAGTTTTGGTACATATCAAACACTGAGTGTCGAATTTCCCTGTGTCTGCTGTCTGCGAGGCAGACCGACGAGTTAGCATCGTCCCCGTATCCTTCCTCGATTTTACTTCTTTTTTTCTTTTTCTTCTTCAAAAATGTTCATGTTGAATTCGTTATAAAACGACGGCCTTTTTGTTTGCCGCTTTTCCGCACAATCCAGAATTGATCATACAGATATGTGAGTGAGCTTTCTCTACTCCAACTTCGACACTAACATATAGAGTAAAGCTTGATATGAGAGTACATAAATAAAGTACGATACTGCCTTGCAGAAACGTATGGTACTGCCTTGCAGCACGCACACTGTACGACATGATAATAATTTTGGTACGAGTACATAAAAAGCGTATGGTACTGCCTTGCAGCAAGTACACTGTACGACATGCCGTACGAGTGTGTACGAGTATGAAGCGTACGATACTGACTTGCAGCAAGTACACGGTACGATTTGAGAGGGGAGAGAGGAACTGGTTTAAGCACATGTGCCATACGTCCATAGAAAAGTGAGATCTAAAATATTTTTCATCTTTGCAGAACTGGATTGCCTATGAAAACCTACCAGCCGAGATGAACACAGAAAAGCTGGTTATTGATTTCCCTAACATCAATCTACCAAACACAGCCGATAACTTTGCCTACTGCCAGGTAGATACTTCAAATACGACCAATCAAAGGGACCCCCTGTCGATCATCAAATAATCCACTTCCCAGTTCCCTGCACCATCTTAAATGGCAACGATGCATTTGTATCGAAGCGAGACGAACGGTGAGCTTGTAATGATAGAGACGTGAATAATTGTCCAAGTTAAAAGAGGTCTCTATCATTGCAAGCTCACCGTTCGTCTTGCTTCGATGCAAAAGCACGGCTACTATTTAAGATGGCGCAAGGAAYTGAAGGGGTCAACTATTAACTATAACCAATAACCAAATTTTATCGATACACTCTGAAAAGACCTCTGGGGCTTATTTTAATCGTAAAATGGGAAAACCCAGATATCTGTAAAATGGGGAAAGCGCAGAAACAAAAGTGCTGTAATAGAGCAAGTGCATGTTACATCATAACCACCATCTTGGTTAACGATAACAAAGCATTCCTCATTAGCTTCTCTTGTTAAATCAACCAACATGGTGGCGGTCTCATTATTCATATCTCGAGGGATTTCGAGTCGCATGTTGCACACACTGTATAGACCCCTTGCCATGTGACGTCAAAGCAGCTCTATCTGGAGGACAAAACAAAAGAATTCCAATATCCTGAGAATTGGAACCTATTGTTTTGCGCCCAGATTGAGCTGCATTCCAAAGTGCTGCAAGGGGTACGTATTTCTTTTTATACTTATCATCGGTTCTGTTTTTCATTTACCAGACGGTCGCTTTCAATGGAAACTACACAACCACTCCTACAGTGATAATCACAGCTCTTCATCGCTCGTCTGCGTTAGCGCATCTGATACCAGAATATAACAGTATTTCTGCCTGGGCAGAGGTAGGTAAAAAGCTGGTAAAAAGCAGCCAATTGTTGTTGTTATTCATAGCAGCCAGTCACCAAACATATATCATCTTTTCGCCTACTTTTTCTAGTCAGTTAGCACATTTWAAAAATAAAATTCGCAAAGTACCATGTTTGTAATACAATTATAAAATGTCAAATGGTTGCAGAAGTAGTGCAACGCAAGTACTAAACACAATGAAGGTCCTATACTAAATGTCCTTAGAAGTCAATGTTCCGTGCACAACACAACAGCTAACTTCCATTAGATCACTTAGATTGCACTAGGAAAAACCTTCGTAGACTTCGAAAAGTTACCAATTTCTTTCTACTTTTATGTTTATTTTGATAGATATTATAGACCGTTGAATTAATTGGTGTGTTGAGCAAAAGTATTTCTCTTGCAGTTCATCACTATAACTCAGTTCCGTGTCTGCCTTAAAGAACTCCACGCCCCGAATGGATACGATCCTGTCGTCGTCACAGCTCTTGCCATAGGTGAGTTTGTAGAGTCACGCGTAGCGTGCGTGACATGTCACGTGATTGCTTAGAGGAAAAAATTACCAAGCCAAACAATATACAATTCTTTAAAATGCTAAAATACGAAAATATCGGACGAGAACTGGACGAGATACAATGATCTTATGAAATATGTGAACTTTTAAATTATAAATTCGAATTATTTTTCCCGTTGGAAATAATTCTTTACCTTCGCGTTTAGTGCTTTACGTTTCAAGATTCCTAGTCTCATTCAAATGAATGTTTGTTATTGATCATTAATCGTAAATAAAAGAATAATACCTGAGAAATTGATTTAGATGAAAGAGAAACAAATGGCAAACAAACATAGCTTCCTGTTCGAGCGAGAGGTAGAATTGACTTTACAGTAAATTCCCATTTTAACTAGTTTATATTTCTTACGACTTGACCATCTCAATCTGTGCTTTGCTTTGTTTTTCAGCTACCTAAGTTACAAGAAAAGAAGCAATAGAAGATTAATAAGGGTCGAATCATTTTACGAGAATGTTTACGTCGGATATATAGAAATATTATATTTATAGTCAAAAGATTAAATAAAACTATGAGCATATATAAATAACTACTTTGTGTTTATTTTATTTATCTCGTTTGAACGAAACATCGTGTGCCTTTGTTTATAAATGATACATTTTGATCTAGCTTGGATGCAAATATATCTATTGTTGAGCATGCCTTATATGGTGTTGTTTGCACCCAAGCTAGACCATGATGCACCTTGTTTATTTCATCTCGGAAAAAACTGAAAATATTATTGCTTGTAATTGGTGAAAAAAATGCAGGCAAATTTGCATATCACTGCAGACTGCCACCTATACAAACACCACACGCATGGAACCCCAACAAATGACAGATAGCCCATTGGAAATGTTGAGTGCCGACTTCTGTGGATCCTAGCCCACGATAGAGTACTTATACACACAATCATGGACCGAAATATTCAAGTGATTCCATTGTAGAAATCCCAAAGTCAACCTCAGCTGACGCTGTGATTCTAGTACTGGACAAGTTCATTTTAAAAAGCAAATCGTACTCCATTTAATTCAAACGCTTTTGCAAACTCTGCAAAATACATGGGATTTACGTGCAGGAAGATTACACCAAACTGGCTCAGAACAAACGCACAAGAATATATCCTTTCATAAGCCACTCATGAAAGGAGCTGCACATGTAAAAGGCAACAGATGGAAGAAAGATCTTTTGATAAATTTCTTAGGATTACCGTTGTAAACCACATTCATATACAAAGCTTGCAATGTTTGCAAGAGATTCGAGAACAAAACTATTTACACCATGCATGTCATTTCGCTGCGCTCAGTCCCATCGAATTAGCCAATCGATCAGCGAGCATTTTGTTCGTAGCTCAATATTTCCTAGATCCAGATTTTTGGCGCAATAAACAACATCTTTTACTCAAAATTAATGACGTTAAAACTAATCCGTGGAAAGATACACCACATATCTTTTAGAAATATCATATTCCGTCGTTGTTGGTGGAAAAAAATTCATTTTAACGAGAGATAATAGAAAATATTTGGACATTTTCGCTGTGATGAACAATGTATTGCACACCTAGATTCCAAATCAGCTGACGGAAATTGATAAAAATCAAAAACCACAACACGAAGCCAGAAGGAGTATGCTTACAAGAGAAACTACGCTTTATACACCGCGACTGTTCTTGTCAAAAACAAAAAACAAAAAAAACACACACACAAGAAGAACAAGAAGAAGAGGAAAAAGAAGAGGAAAAAGAAGAGGAAAAAGAAGAGGAAAAAGAAGAGGAAAAAGGAAGAACCTTTCAAACCGGAACCATATGTCATCAGGTTAAAGACACGATGGCGACAGCCAGGTTAAGCAAGAGAAGCATGATAACAGATAAGCAGATAACTTTTTAGGTTATGCCAAAGACTTATAAGCAACTGCCAAAAGAGGAGAAGAGAACAGCAAATGAATCTCAGAGATTATGTATTAACCGTATAATGAAAAAAATCCCCAGGACATTACTTGAAATTTAATGAACCCTTTTGTTAAGTTATTTATGTGAACATCATGGGCGCGATTATAGAGGGAAATCAGTGAAAGCTTACTTAGAAAATATGTGCTTCATTGCCAATTTTTTCCCTTTGGGAATTACTTAGTATAGTCTTAGTATATATTTCTGAACATTCAGGTTACCGAACTTGGCATTCCTGAAGATGACACTTGTCAAAAACGTTCAAAACTTTTAACAAAAACTTTTACTTTCGCCTATATATTTTTTTGAAAAATTATTATTAGCGAATTATTATGACATATACTCATTTATATATTTATTTGACACTAATATTCACATCCCATTTTCATTTTCGAATCAGGCTTGTTTGCCGTGCAGTGCTGACATGCAGCATGTTCGTTTGCCAGTAACTGAACCGGCCTTCATTAGGTACGACAAGTAGTGTTGTTCATTCATCATTTCTTGTTTGTCAGCCCAGATGGAACAACGAGTTTACTGCTCGTCACTTTTCTTTGTTTTCTTGTGTATCCATGAAGTCGATGCTGTACGTGTCCTTCTTCGTGCTTGCCTTCGTGGTGGTGGCATTGGTGGCGATCTTCAGCATATTACCGTGCAAGACCTTGAACATTTACCACTACCCAATTCAAGTATCTGCTCTTTGTAAGTTGAAATGAGATAAATTTATAAGGCATCTGTTAGATACAGTCGATTCAAAAAACGTTGTCGTCGACCAGCCCACGCGACTGGTCCGAAAGGAAATCTGGGTAGAAATTACTAAAGCGATTGACTGCATAGGTTTTATCTGATGAATTTTTCTTATGGGTTACAGGACGAGCTCGAGCGGAAAGTGTTGAAAGAAACGTTATTCTAATGCCTTCCCATTTTCGAAAGTGTGGTCTTTGGTTAAACCCAAATACGCATTTAAAGGGTTTTTGCTCCCCATTATTATCTTTACTACTAACGGGAACAATTAATTCAGAACAAATATTTAACCGCTTCAGTGATTTTTACCCATATTCCTTTCGGTCCAGTCGCGTAGGCTTGAGCCGCTCGACGACAACGTTTATTGAATTGATTGTATGGCAGTGGCACCAAAAGAAAACGAAATACGGTTGGAATATCAAACCAAAACGACTTGGAAAAAAATGAAAAATGGAATAAAAGTTTGTAGAGTGAAGGAAAAGATTGAGGTGCTAGCCAACGCGTCACTGTCCCGAGCATTCTAAAACTCTCAATGACTTGGTATTCACTAATTTTAATGAGAAAATTGTGGATTCCGAGTCAGTATACGTACTGATCCAAGACTGCGGACCATCCCTGACTTGTCTAGTATTGTGTTCGAGACATGTTGTACTCGATTTCCCCCGAGATTCATTGATTTCTTRGATCTTCGAAGCCATCGATCATCGTAAAATTCACAAGAAGGCAAGTGCGTGAGGAATTAAAAAAAAAAACTTTTCGTGACAAAACAACAGCGGACATTGGATAATGCAGGTTTACAATTAATGAAATTTTTGCGAAAACCTTTCAGCAAGCACAGGGTATTTATTTTAAAAAATCACTCTTTTAACAATTGTGATAGGCAATCTTTTTTTARCCACTTTAGAAGTTCTTTTGCATGTTGTTTTCACCGATACGGAAAGTATTGACGACTGCGTTACCGCCTGGAACAAGTTGTACAAGCTATCGTTGTTGCTGAGACTCTGCTACAACTATATGACAACGCAAAACCAGAGRCCCCCACTACGCCTTGGATGACAGCCAACCTCGCAAATCATATGCACATATTTAGTAACAATGATTGCTCTTCTCAAAAACGAGTGGGGGAATGGGTCGAATTGCAAGGGCTGCTGGGATTGTTACTGGAGACGTGTGTGTTTGTTTTAAAGCGAAAGAAGGCAAGTGTTTTTCAACCAAGAAAATAAAAATTTTCACTGAATGAAGAGATATTTCAGGAGCAAAGTTACCATCGAGGAATGTATTAGTTCTGTCTTACGTGGTTGGCTTCTTTTTAAGASAGCAAAAACTACTGGAAAACTCGCTGATTACGATCTGAAACCGTTCAACGTTTGAGTTTAAGACATTTTTAGTTTTTCAAGTTCTTTTTAAAAACGATTGCAATTGTTGTATGCCTCGTTCTACAAAGAGTTCCAACAACTTTGCTGGGTATTCTGCATGTTGTTGCCAGCTTTTCTCATGAAGGACCACGTCTTACACCGTGAGAAAAACTAAATGAATTATAAACGGGAGGCGTTGGTCTACTTCACGCAGCTCCTTGACACATTGAACCATATCAGGCACAGCCTGTAATTATGGATTGACTGTTTTATCAACTTTTTTTTTGTTAGGGAAATATTCAACAGCAGCACGAGTTCTCTTGGAGATGGGTTATTCGTACATTTTACTAGTCTGTTAACTCTGTAAGTAACGTATAATTTGTTCACGCGCGCTCATTGTCTAGCTTATCAATGATATCAGAAAATTATATGAATAAATCAAGAACCTTTACTTTTGTAGGTCGAATGGGTGTGGGCTCAAGTTGAATGGGCGGTAGGGCTCATAAGGAGAACAAAAATGAGGAAATCTATTTGACAATTCCTGAAATGAACAATACATTCACTCTCCGGAACTGAATATTAATTGACTTCGTTTTTTTCTTATTTTCAGGTCGTTATACAACAATAACATCCAGAAGATATCAGCCAATGCTTTCCTAGGACTGACGGCTCTTCGAACACTGTAAGTAACATAAGTGTTTGTTCTTTTAAGAAAACCAGCCCCCACATGGCTTTAGTATTCGATGCTAACTTAAGCCTGGTTCAAACTCTTAAAAATGGAGTGAATTCTTAAGAGGATTCAAAAAGAAAATAAAGTGAAATAAAGAAAAAAGTGACGTCATTCTGAATCAGACGATTAAACGACATTTTCCCCCTGATTTTTTTTCACATTCTCCACAAATTAATGCTCTTTAGTTAAKTATCACTTTGGTTTAAAAAAAGATATGCCTTTGATGCTATTTTTCATTACGTAATTTACGTGGGGAGAATGCGTAAAGAGGCAAAATAATACGCGCGAAACGGATGGAGATGTTACAAGAAAAGTACTCATGTTTGTTGCTTTTTGTTTTGAAGCAATCTTAGCAYGAACCCAATTAAAGTGTGGCAAACATCAGAACTTATTAGTCAAGTTCCTAATCTAACTACGTTAGACCTAACTGGCACATCACCATGGTTACCAGATAATGGCATCTTGAGGTTAAAACGGCTTAGGACCGTTCAAGGCGTTAGCTGGGGTCAACACTGCTGGAACTGTTCMCTTATCAAATCAAATAACTCCAGTCAACTYAAGCTGTTAACTGAAGGTTCTACGAGATACATCAAAGGTTACGCATGCCGTACGATAACTATTACAGCCTCGAGAATAGTTCAAAGGTTTGCAAACCATAGTTTTTTAGCAACTTGCGTAGTTGAAAACCCAAAGTGCAGTCAGTCAGAGATCAAGGAAGTCGTAAAGGCACCTTGTCGAGATACAACTTTATCAGTGTTTTCCCTGCAGTATTTTCTTGGCCCTTTAGCAATAAGTTTAAAYTTAGTTGTAATTATAACTACCATACGTTCCAAACGTCTCCGCAAGAACTTTGACATGATATTGGTTTGTAATATCGGGATTGGGGATATGTTTAACGGCGTGTATTCTGTCCTGATCATATCTATTCATACGCTTAAAACATTTGACCAAATGATGACATTTGCGCAAGATTACTGTGCATCYATAGGGTTYTTCTGGGTTCTTGGTACATGCCTTGCTGTAAGCTTTTCATTTGTTCTAACAATAGAGCGATACAAATGTGTAATGCACTCTCTACCACGTCACAGTAGAATGAGCCCCACCACCCTTCTGGTAGCTTCAGCTATATGTTGGTTATGGGCTCTAACCGGATCTGTTCTACCCATGGTTGGAATAGGTAGTTATTCCATTAATACTTATTGTATATCAGTTTTTCCTGTCAAGTCAAATCCCGTTCAGTTTTATTACAGCGTTATTGGAACAGGTCTATCGGGTCTCATGTACCTCGCTACTATACCTATATACGTTARAATGTACTTATTTGTACGGAGATCCAGCAAGAACATGCRAATACGCGCAGATATCGAGCTAGCCAAGAGGGTRTTCAGTCTTGTATTAACAAACATGCTGTTTTTCCTACTCCCAGTCATTATGTCRTTGATTTTCGCTAGCGTTAATCGCGAAACAAACGCTATTTCACGAGAGGTGTCTGARGTACTGAACTCRGCTTTCCCTCTGCWYTGTTTGACTTTAAATTCAGTTCTTAACCCAATCCTCTATGCGTTCAGGATCAAGCTGTTCAGAACAGARTTCAGCAGAATGTTATCTTGGCGTTGCTCGCTCAACAGGAGAGGTCACAAGACCCGCTCTACCAACATTAAGCTTCACGTACGAGCTGMCCGTGTCGTACATTCTCCAAATAATAGCACATCCCTAGTTACTCTTTGATAGCTTTAAGCCTCGTCATTTTACTGATAAAGGCGCGCCATTGGTGAATAGTCGAAACGTCTAGTTATCATTAATTCAAATCAGAGGCAAACAAAATATTATTAATATCTTTAAGCCTCGTTCAACTTTTATGCAGAGACATTGACCGAGTTCATTTTAAATGTATTTTTAAAAAATTGAATTGTAAAATGAAAAAAAAAAAAAAATTTTATTTAAATTTAAAATCCATTGAAATTCAAAATGGCTCACATTACTTAAATATCCTTAGTAGAAGACATTCGTTA